CGAGTCACTGTTTACATGTCAACATTAGCTCATGACGATACCAGCGTACGTGTGTCACTGGACAGTGAACCTCGCTACCATCAGTTGACTGGACAATCTCTACACTACACGAGTCACTGTTTACATGTCAACATTAGCTCATGACGATACCAGCGTACGTGTGTCACTGGACAGTGAACCTCGCTACCATCAGTTGACTGGACAATCTCTACACTACACGAGTCACTGTTTACATGTCAACATTAGCTCATGACGATACCAGCGTACGTGTGTCACTGGACAGTGAACCTCGCTACCATCAGTTGACTGGACAATCTCTACAGTACACGAGTCACTAAACAGCGAACCTACATCTATACAAATAAATAAAATTGGAGTATCTGTTTGTACTATTAAAATAACCACTGTTTACTACATGCATATGAATATACATACGATACACATACGCATACCAAAATAACTACAAACTAATAAATACATAAAATATTGTTTTTCACTTTTTTTTCTGTCTGTCTGTCTGTCTGTATGTCTGTCTGTCTGTATGTTCCTTAGAGAAATAAAAACTACTCGACGGATTTTAACAAAACTTGGTACAATTATTTTTCATACTCCCGGGGAGGTTATAGTATACTTTTCATCACGCTACAGTCAATAGGAACAGAGCAGTGAAGGAAAGTGTTGGGAAAACGGGAGAAGTTACTTCATTTTTCAAGCTTCCGTCGCGTGATCAGACTTAATAGTTAAAGCTACATAGAAATCATGTATGAAGGAAATGTTCTACATAAAATTATCTAAATAATATCCTACGACAGCAACAGCAACAATTGCCAAATAAATGTTTTTTCTTACTCTTTCTTTCTATATTTGTTTTCATTCCAGGCTTTAAGGCGTCGTGTCCATGAATTGGGTACTCCAGTGATAGTGTATACTGGGAACCATGGTATGATGACTCTACCTGACAAAGGGGGTCGAATGAGGGAGATATTTCTACATGCAGATCTGAACAATAACTTTAATGTTCCTGTGCCTATGTATTTTTATAAGGTAAGTTGAGAACCAGTGTGTGGAATACCTACCAACGTATGTACAGTCAAAGGTGAGTGATGTTTACACGGTAATGCGTGCGTACGCATAAACACACGCACGCATACGTACACGGATAAAAATATGCGTGTGCATCTGTGTATAAGCGCTGCAGCGCAACCGATACTAATTTTACGGTGGCAGTGGACTTTTGACCTTTGACCTTACCTATGTGGTGGTTGCTAAATACGAGAATTCGAGTTCGATTCTCGGGGGTAGAAGAATTAATAAAAAATAAACGTTAATGAAAGATCATGAAAATTCCTTGTTTAACTAAAAATCGCGGGTTACTCACGTGAATATACTGAGAAAAGCTCTACTAGTTTCGAACCACAGAGGGGTTCTTCCTCATGAACAGCGTGCGCTGTCGCCGCGATGTCGCGCAGCCTACTTCTAGTAGAGCTTTTCTCAGTATATTCACGTGGGTAACCAGCAATTTTTGGTTCATTTAGTTCTCACGATAGTTTTTATAAAAAACATAGAATTCCTTGTTTTTCGACTGTTACCGACGTCTTGGGTTTGACTATCTGTCTAGAAAATAAGTTTTACTTAAGTAGGTATGTTTCAATTGAAAAATATTCGAAATATTATTTTGTGTTATTGTAGGTAGGTACCTAGTCATCATCAACAGCCTCTAAATGCCCACTGCTGAGCAAAACCTCTTCTCACACGGAGAAGGTTTAAGCAAAATCACCACGCTTGCTTAATGCTGGTTGGCGATTACAAACTTATAATTACAAATTATAAGCCCAGGTTCCCTCACGATGTTTTCCGTCACCGTTTGTCAATGGTGTCTAAATAATCATAGAAAGTACATATAACTCGGAAAAAGTCACATGGTACTTGCCGCTGATTGGTTTCGAACCCGCACCCTCATGCATGAGAAGCGGGCGTCACCTCCGGGCCACCACAAGCAGGTACCTAGTAGCTACGAATTTCTCAATCAAAACACCTAAAACAACAATGCCTGATCCAAGAGTGGAACCAAAACTCCTCACTTGAGCATCTACAACCACTACGCCAATGAACCAGATCCTAATCTGTTTTCTCTTTTACAGCTGGTCTACGACCCGTCACAGAAGAGGGCATCAGTGTTCTTGACCATAAACTCATCCTTCTACAACGACTCTATTACAAACAGTTTAATGTTCTGCGATAATATTTGTGACAAGGACGATTACTATAATAATTTCAAATGGTTAAGATGGCGGTCCAATGATGGAACATTTAGCTTCTGTTGTGATTATGATCAATTTGTTAGAGAAGTAGATTACTTACCGAAACTTGATGTTCGGGGGAGATTTTATTGAAGTGCAATAAAGTAATTATATTGAGACAGGCTCGTTCTTCGTCCAATGGGGAATGGGGTAGATACCTAATTTTTATTGTAATGTCCGTCTGGTAGATTATTTTAAATCATTAGACACTTATTTTTTATTTTCTTACAGAAACTAATACTTTCGACGATATATTGATTTGAAATGTCGCGTGACGTCACTTCTATCTACATTTTATACGTAGAAATGACGTTTTAGCCCCCACTCGTAAACTTTGATTCGTTATATCTAAGTATCATTTCATTATAGGTAAGAACAACAAAATAAAAAAAATACGTGTCTAATATTTTTTCATTACCTAACTGACGGACTAATAAAATTTTTAATTTTCATACCCTGTCATCATCCCAATTAGCTTGTTGTGCATAACCTAATATTAATGTGATGACAGCTCCTGTGATTGCACAAAATGCCCCTTCCGACATTTTTGCCATCTGGTGTGTCGACTAAATAATAAAAACTACTCGCCAATTAGTCAAATTCAATACTTTTTTCCCAACTGTCAAAAACGAGAGTATTCTATGAATTTTGTACGAGATTGTGTATTGTGACGTCACGTTTTTTAGCGTCAAACAACATTCTTATTTCTTAAAAAAATCTAGAAAAACCAATTAATGAGTGTGATTATTATTTAATATTTTATTGTATTGATTATTTTTTAATATTTTATTGTATTAATAGTCGAAATAATTTATTTTTGATTACGGAAAGTACCCAATTTTACTTATTGTACCTAAGGCTCTCAAGAATAGTTCTATCACTACAAATTCTATGTAAAATGACAGAGACAGCACTATATTTGAAAACAACTTCAAATTAGTAAGCCTTTCAGTATTCGAGCATACCTCAGTAAGATTGTAAATAGTTTAAAAATAAAATCAACATATGTATAATTAACGTGTTCTTTAATTCACATAATAATAATAATATAAAGATTTTTGTTATTAACATAAAAATAATAATTAAACCTTATCTAATTGTCTTTTGTTTGAGATTTACAAATTGACCTACACATACATACATACATACATTTATACAATATTATTATATACAGTCAGCCAGAGGCCTTAATACAAGTGTGATTTTGACAATCTGATTGGCGGGCGCCAATAAACCAACCAATTAGAGCGCCGAACGAGGTCTCGTTACGAATCCTTTAAACGTAAGACAAACTTGTACTAAGGCCTCGGGATATACAGTATGCAGGTAAGAAAATAAAGATAGATTCAGTACAGAGACAGTAGCTACCGTTATACTAAATTGTATGCTTTTTTATATATTATTCGATGGGTCGACGTTTGACCACTATCTCACACGCAGCTGTAGCCAAATGCCATTTAGCGCTTGTCTACATGTAGAATAGAAAACCAAATTATATGGAATTGACGTAAATTTTGACACTTGTCAGTGTCATCCCCGTACATTTTAATTTCTACTCTCTCTCTGTAGACAAGCGCTGAAGTGGCGTTTGGCTAAAGGCACTGATGGTAAGCGATGCTCCACGATGGAGCTCGTTGTCCCATAAGCAACCTATTCACTCGGGCCTTGAAGACACCCAGGTTATAGATATATGTATACCCTTCAGGAAATACACTCTTTTTTTTTGAGGTGGGAAAATCATCCAATGACTTCTCCCGCCCGGGTGAGGCGAGTGCAAGTGTCGGGCTCTTACTGACTAAAACCCACCCCGTTCCTACTCCGAGCCGGAGTCGCACTACGAGCCGGAGCCCCGGCAACCCGTTAAGTCTTCCGCCGCTCCGTATCGGAATCAGCCCTGTTGGGCCCCATCTGTGGAGGAAATACGGACTCTGGCAAAGAATTCCACTCCTTAGCAGTACGCACAAGGAAGCTTGATGCGAAGCGCTTCGTGACTGGGTGGGACATCTACCATGAATCGGTGACGCTTCCCAGATTCTCTTGTGGTTATTAGATTTGTACCGAAGCCATATCTTTGTACTGAATCAATCTTTGTTTTCTTACATGCATACAAAATGTTTTACATTTATATTAATCTCATACATTTTCATATCTTTAAAACATAATCAATAATAATATTACACAAAATCTAGTCTTTTCCCGAGACTTACTTCCCTACACTTCCCTAGCGCGCTACATGACACACAGCTTGCTACGCGCATTAGTTATAGCCAGAGTCTTATTATTCCTAAGGCAGACTAGACAAGTGCCGGGCGCCAGAGACGTGCGTGTACAACTGTACATAGAGTGACGGTGGCGACAAAAAATTGGTCACGTCTATGACCTCATACATAAAGAGCGCCATAGGCAAGCAGGTGCTTGCCTACCTTTAAACTTTCGTGTGTCTAAATGTGGATCCAATGTATTTTTGGTTATGGCTCATATCTAGGCATCCTGCTTCGTTGGCCGAGTGGTCGCAAGTGCGACTGCCGGGCAAGGGGTCTCGGGTTCGATTCCTGGGTCAGGCAAAGTAATACTGAGTTTAAATAAAAACTCAGTAGGTAGTAGCACCGAGTCTGGAATTGTGCCCGGTATGCGGTAATAGGCTCATCCCCTATTACATGGGACTCATAATATAAATAATGGAAAGTGGGTCGTTACATTGTACAGTGGCTTTAAATCCCACAATGTGCACCTCTGCCTCCCCATTCGGTGATAAAAGGCGTGATGTTATCTCTGGTTATAGCTGTGTACTGTTTCTCACTCTCTCAGTCTCCGGTAAAAAGGCACTTGCCGTAATACTGATATCTTCTCCAGTTTTAGGAATATTTGCCGATAATCCAATTGCATTAGCCCACGACCGCCATTAGAAAATTTCGTCGCATTCGAAAACCCTTCCACGAGCAAATGAACTATGAATTTGGACACCATACTACAAATAAAGTTCAAAATGTCAATATTAAGAGTTCTTTTCGTCGAAATATTCTCTAAACGAAGCGCAAAAACTTGAATTTTGCGTATAATCATGTCTAAAGAATTTTGTAGATCATCCACAGTCCACTGTTAGAGAATGAGCCTCATCTACATAAGAGGGTTTGCCATAATCTCTGCTACTAGGTTGGTGAACTCAGTCTAAAAGGTTCAGGTTTATCAGAGAGCGCTGCTGCCCGGTCTCTGTCAAATGTAGTCCAGAGATGGTCTGGCCATACAAGCCAGCCCGCGAGGGCCCCGGTCTTATAGGGGTTTCGAAATAGGTCCGGAAAACCGCGAGAAACTTTTATTTTGTTCATCTTAAAAATTGGAGGGGTTATTCGGTCCTAGACGAGGGTCTCAAATGCTGCCAGACCGCCCATAGTGTAGTCCCTTAGTCGAGTATACGACACCCGGGGGAGTAGGGGTGCTGACAAATATATTCTTACACTGCCGTCAGCAGAGTGCTTAGACAGAGTTCGTTTTACGGTTACCGATATCGAAACCGCGTTCAGCGCTCTGATTGGCCGCCTCCAATGAAGCAGCCAATCAGAGCTTAACTCAACTAAGACGAATTAATGTTATAAGTCGCGGGATAAACCTAGTTCATATAATTTATCTGAATTAAACTGTCAAATACCAAGCGGTCACCGGTGACCGCAACCTATTGTTCTATAATTGTGTCTACAAAACCGGTACTCGACGAGTTAAATAAAGCTGAAGTATTTCTGTCTGTTTGTTTGTACGCACTAATCTCTGTAAGTATCAGTCCGATTTGAGTAATTATTTTTGTTTAGGAATATTATAGGCTATGTAACATCACACTAAGATGTATAGGTACAAAGCAGAATGGTGTAATGTTGATGAAAATTGATAAGTAATATGATTGTTTTTTTTTATATAATTATCACAATTTGTATGAAGCTTATAAATAAAATTAAGTACATTTTTGAAATAAATTTCTGGTTGTTCAGTGGTTGGAACCTCGACTGCCGTTTTTAAGGCCTTGGGTTCATATAGCCAAAAGTATAATTAGTATTAGGGTTTGTGCCAAATTCTATTACAAAATAATGATTTTAATTGGTCATCTCTGCCTATACCCTAAGGCATATCATAACAATAAGCGCTTTATTAACTACTTTCTAAAATAAAGTTACCAGCTTAAAAATATATTTTCATTATCTCACCTGGCAACACTACGCAGTCGCATCTCTACTCTCAATAATCACAGACAACGCTTGTCTATCTTTTTTATTTTCGCAGGCACAAGTAACCAATGCCTGAAGGTGTTTATTAGAATACTCGACTCTTTCTAGAACAAATTCTTCTAGGCTTTTCCGCGGTAAATAATAAGCTTTGACGTATCTATCTACGTAATCCTGAAAGGGCACAGGCCGTAATCCTGAAATCTTCTCCAGTTTTAGGAATAGTTGTCGATAATCTAATTGCATCAGCCCACGGCCCCCATTTGAACATTTTGTCGCGTTCGAAAACCCTTCCACGAGCAAATGAACTATGAATTTGGACACCATACTCCAAATAGAGTTCAAAATGTCAATATTAAGAGTTATTTTCGTCGAAATATTCTCTAAACGAAGCGCAAAAACTTGTATTTTGCGTATAATCATGTCTACATAAGCGCTGTGTTCGACTGCGACGTTTTTGACGTCCCATTTGACTTGCGACATGGCTATTAAAGCTGTTCTTGCGTCGACCGCTTTAGAGGCCGAACACATATACACGGGCACCCTTAAGTCCTGAACGACGGCCAACGTATTATCTTTAAAATGTTCTAAGATCATTTTCTGATGAGGAGCGACTATAGACTCTAAGTAAGGTTGCAAGATCTCATATTGCTTTGACAAGAAGATAACGCTTTCAACCGCAACTATCCTTTCTGGAAGACCGTGCAAATTTTCTTCTGAAGTCATGTTTAGATGCTGAGGGGGATCTGGACAAGGGATTTTGCCGTCAACCTCGCCAGAGTTATCCGTATCAATATTGTTCTTTATCCTCTTTAAGACAGAGTTCAATTTCGCACTGTATAAAGTTGAAGAAGCGACGTCTAAATCCGAGGTAAAAAATAGATGTACAGTGAAGAAATAGTAGTCGAAAAGCTGGTTCATTAGCATCACGACTTCTAATGAAATTTGGGGTAAGTAGCGACATATTTGGAGGTACTGTCCGCAGTGTCTTAGGACTGATAACGTAGTATTTGTGACTATAACACTGTCAGTAACTCTGCTAGGACTTTGGGTCGGTTCAGGCCGATCATTTTCGTCAACAAAATCCCTTTTTAACTCATCTGGTTCGTCATCCTCCGAATCATCGCTTACCAACTCCGGTTCAAGGCCGAAAATATCATCATTCGTTATATTTTCATTGCGAAAGATCTCGAATGGCGTGTGGTGTGTGCTTTGTTTGAAATACTTCGCGATATAGACGCTGTCTTCTTGCGAATGGACTGAGGACGCTCCATCGGATTGGGTCTTTAGAAGCGAAGTGTCTGTCCTAACATTAAGGTACTTTTTGAACTGTTTGAACTCTTGTAGGTAGAGTAAATTGAACGTAGATTTAACTGGACACTGCTCCCAGCCTTCGTTTTCCAAAAAAAGCTTCAATTCCTCCATCCGTCCTTTGTGATAGTTCTTTATGTACAATACACTTTGAGTCTTAATAAAATCTTGTAAAAGGTCTGATTTATCACCACAAAACACTTCAGCCACTTGAGTCAGTTTTCTCAGCACTCCTAACATTTGTATGAACTTCTCAAAGGGATACTCTTCTATGCCAGAACTGCGCAAAAACGTTGAAACTTTAGCTTGGACATCGTTCCAGATCCGAACAAGCCCAGCTTTTAATTTCTGCCTTATATACTCTCTGCTAACATTCTTTTCGATTTCAAAAACATTACTCGAGATCGGTATCGATTCTTCTTCGTCATATTTCGAATGCCATTCCACTAAAAGGTAATAACTCCTCATGATTAAGAAGAGATTTTCGCACAAATTCAACAAGCAAATAGGAGCTTTATTCGCTTGCACGGACTGACACATTTCTTTGAATTTCATATCGGAAATGTCTCCTACATAACTCTTAACTGCTTCGATAGCCGACTCGTTTACCGCGGAAGAATAGTGCATATGTAACTGCTCCATGGCCGCTTGAGTTTTTCCAAGCAGAGCGTACGTTTTTCGCAATTTCCGAAAGATATTTTCGTCGAAATTGTAGCAGAGGCTTGCTAGTACAGTGTCCAATTTTTCTTCTGTCATATCCAGCGTATCTTGAAGACGAGATGCCAAATCGGATATGCATGTATACTCTTTATGAAGACTAGCAGCCTTTTTGCTTTTCAGAATCAAATCTATGGCTTCATAATATTCTTTTTTTACTAGCAAGTCAGCAACATCTTTTTCGACGCTGCGTAAACTTCTGAGTAACTCTAATGATTTCAGTACCGATCTGATGATTTGTCTTTTCCGAAAATTTGCAAGTATTACAAATGTGGATATTGTGAGGTGATTTGACGCGGCTCGGAGTTGGACCCGGGCCTTTTGACATGTTTGTAGTGTCGTTGAGAGTTGTTCGCGAATGTTTTGTATTTCTTTAAACTCCCTGTCGCAGTTATCTCTCTGTTGGGAGATTAAATGGAGGGCTTTTCCGGAGACTACCTGTGGAAGAAATTTAAACATAAGAAATTCTTGTTTGAAGTATTTGTTCAATAGTGGGACTCGATGGGAGTAGATTAGTAAGTATTCTCGGGTTTTTTCGACCATCTTACAAAGGGTAAATATTTTTTTCGGTTCCCGAAACTCTGATTTTCAATTTGAAAGATTGAAGTCAACTAGATTGCGGTTTACCATGTCATTGGTTGTCAGAATAATCTCGACCTATGACGGGCCAGAACGAGATCGAACTTACTTCGAAAGTTTGAATTGATAGTTACAGAACAGCCTAGTAGTTCGGCCAACTGGCTGGAAGCGATCCAGCAGCTCCTTGTGACCTTTGTCAAAGGATCATTTTTGCTATCATCAACAGCCTATAAGTGGCCACTGTTGAGCAAAGGCCTTTTCTTACACGGAGAAGGTTTGAACATTGGCGATTACAAACTTAATTAGAAATTATAAGCCTAGGTTTCCTCACGATGTTTTCCTTCACCGTTTGCCAGTGGTGTCTAAATAATCTTAGAAAGTACATATAACTCGGGAAAAGGCACATTGATACTTACCGTTGGTAGGTTTCGAGCCCGCACCCTCGTGCATGAGAAGCTTAGCTTTTAAGCCTCCGGGCCACCACGACATTTTAATTTTAACTATACAGAATACAAATATAGATTCAAACCTGTTGCTGCCGCTTCAGCTTAGTGAACATGCGTTCTATATCATCGCAGGAGGTCACCGGCGCGTGTTCCAGCACATAGCGGCCGGCATCAAACTCCGATGGCGGTCGGAAGTATACATTCTCTATTTCCCTAAGTACCTGTAAGATTTGAAATTGGTCTTTAATTTTTTTAAAGGATACGGTGGCAGATAAAGTCTTATCACCAGATAGTAAGCGAACAGCGCCACTCGTCTTATAAACAGCGCCACTCGTCTTATAAACAGCGCCACTCGTCTTATAAACAGCGCCACTCGTCTTATAAACAGCAGCTGTAGCCAAATTCCATTTAGCGCTTGTCTAATTGTAATATATAATTATCTAAATTATATGGAATTGACGTAAATTTTGACACTTGTCAGTGTCATCCCCATACATTTTGATTTCTTCTCTCTCTGTAGACAAACGCTAAAGTGGCATTTGGCTAAATGCCCCAGCTGTAGCCAAATGCCATTTAGCGCTTGTCTGCATGTAGAATAGAAAACCAAATTATATGGAATTGACGTAAATTTTGACACTTATCAGTGTCATCTCCGTACATTTTGATTTCTACTCTCTCTCTGTAGACAAGCGCTAAAGTGGCGTTTGGCTAAAGGCACTGGGGATTATTATCATCGATTACTCTTTGATCAACTGTCTCACCAGTCGAGTGATCGCACACAAATGCAAAATTTATGAAAAAGATACTAATAATAATAACCTTAGGGTCGATTATTCAATCGTAATCATCAGTTAATTCTTAACTGTAGAATAATATTGATATTTGATAGTTTTTAGTATAAAACAATTGTTAAATATTCAAAGTTAGTCATCAGTTCCTCTTTACTCTCAAGAACAAAAAAAAAACAAAGTATAACAAAATCAAAAATAAGACAAAACAATAACATAACATCACGCCTTGTATCCTCAAAGGGGTAGGCAGAGGTGCACATTACGGCTCTTAATGTGACTGTACAATGTAACAGTCACTCTTCACTATTTATGTCTTGAGTCCCATGTGATAGCGGGTGAGCCTATTGCTATATACCCGGGCACAATACCAGACTCCGTCCTACTGCTGGCATTTGTTTTAAAAATCCAGTAATACTTTTTCCGGTTGTCGCACTTGCGACCACTCGGCCAGTGAAACAATACAATAATAAAACAGAAATTAACCGTCTGCGGCTGACGTGTAGTCCCACAGACACCGCGAAATACAAAATCACGTGTTATACCGTCATTTTCCAAATACGAGCATCACTGCTGCGAGTACCTTACTGTATAGTGCTCGCTGTACTTTAATTCTACAAAAATATTTGCTGTTGAAATGGTGTCTGGTATACTATACCACCTCAGTTGAATTGTAACAATTTAACCACGTCAGTTGCAGAGGGTTAAGCAAAGTAATTGGGAATATTTAATTTTTTCAGAGTATGATATCAGTAAATGAGCTTATGGTGTGTTAAATAAAATTAATACTTGTATCATCAACACGGGCACCCTTAACCAGCAAGCATGCATGAAAAGACTGATGACTGTTGAAGACGCGAAAGGGCAACTATGTAAGAATCATAGCAATAGGCGTGGCGACTATTTTTTAATTTTTTGTCCGTCTTTTAGATATTTTAAAAATCTTAGATACGTATTTTTTCTTTTTTCTCGTATCCAAAAAAACATGTAGATATTTTGAGTTAAAATGACGCGTGACGTCACACTTAGGTACGATTTCTCCGTAAGTGTGACGTCAACACCCCCCACTCCCTAACTTTAATGCGGAATAACTACGTATTCTTCTGTTAATTTGATAAAACAAAAATTACGTGTCTGATATTTTCGTGCGATCTTAATGACGGACTAATTACTTTTTTGATTTTTTTACCCTGTCGACACGCCTATTGGCGGTCCATAATCTCTGCGTACCCCCATGGGAGATACAGATAGGCGTGATGATACTTCAATCTCACCTCAAGATCAGCAGCAGAGTGAGCAACACTCATGGACCTGGAGTTGACTCCGGGAGGTCCTCGTCTGTTCTCCATACCGTCTTCAGAGAGCATTGTTCAGACCTACAACGATAACAGAAAATATGACTAGTAAGATAAGAAGATTCCACATAGACACTAGTAGACCTGTGAAGAAGTGGTTGCTCTAGTCAGTGAAAGTATCGTGTGAGAGTGTGGCCAGTTATTTCACTTTTACTTAGTTAATAATATTCTGACAGTTTGAGCATTTGTGCGAACTACACAAATGTTGTTTTGGTTCGAATTGTTCGTCGAGCCATCAGCAACATCCCTTACTTCAGTTGGAAACTTATACATGTGTGCTGCGCTCAGAACGGTTCCACTCAAACTGTTGTAGATCTTTCCTCAAAAGACCACTACAGAATCAACTTGCACGGTTCTCGCACTTTATATAATTTGTCTGGACTTTAAAAGAGACAATGACTTCTGAGTTTGTTTCGGCGTTTCTTCTCAAAGTAGTAGATTAGGAAATGCCGGTATTAATCTAGTAATTTCAGGATTAACATGTAAAAGTGTTACTTTACTGAATATGCAAACACTCAGGATACACAAGAAACAGAAACTCTGGCTAAGAATTTAAACAAAATAACAATTACATGGGTATGTACCCAAGTCTTGTGTTGACGTCAACACAAGAATATCATCTCTAGAAGTTGTATGCCTTGTAATAGACAATACAATACAATACTCTCAATACACAACTACAAAGAAGAAATACACAACAAATTTCTTAAAACAGTGTGAATATGAAATTAATGATTTCCTCAAACAAATACATCAAATATTAAACATAAACTAATGAAATCTTTACACATACTCTTGAATAAGGTTCTCCACACGTTATTCTACTAAGAAAACATTTCGTTATTTTCGTAACAATACAAATCTTTTAAGAAAACACGTCAAATATTATATTAAACAGTATTATGTACATTAAAATACTGTTTTTGTAGAGATAAAACATGTTTTTCCCACTTTTTCATGAACACGGGTACAAAGAAACGTCCATTTAGTAATACTAGTGTAAACAGCCATCGATTAAACAGAATAGACTATGAATACTCCCGGAGATTCTTCGAGTATCGCAAAAAATACCGTAATAATAAGTGGTGTATATTTTGTTGTTTCTCAGAAAATAACGCAAGTTTACCGCTAAAACTTCATATACATGGTCAGTCGTGACCGTAGGATATAAATTGAGATAAATAAAAGAGTAAATACTGACCTGTTTAGTAAAATTAGTAGATTAAATACAATACTACTTAAGATTCAGTTTGCGTATTTCGATACGTCGCTTTCATGAATATTTCGACACACACTGCTAGTTTTAACTTATCTCTAGGTTGTCTTCACTATATAGAGTGTTAGTATCCACATTATTGATTTAAACAGTGAACTATTTTAAATTAAAATGGTCTATTTCCTCTTGTAGGTTTGCTTACGATGACAATACGTCCTTTGACTTTGACAAAGGAGAATGGCCTCATTTTGACAATTTAGGTACATTTTTTTAAAAGAGATGTTCTAATCGGATTACTCGAACACTCAATCTACCCTCAATCTTTTGTAGATAAATGGATAAGAATTAATCTTGCACATATCGAATAACATTAATAATAATTTTAAATGTGTAGATGCGGGTAAGAAAATAAGTTTCGAGTAACAAAATAACCATTACTTTGAAAAATTATTTTTGTTAAAATTGGTCTCAAATCTTACCGAAACCTCGTACCTTTATTTATTATATTCCTTAAGGTAATTACCAAACTTAGAAAAACTTATCTCAGTCATTATCTAGTAGTAGGGAATTTTGGTGGATTGATAAAATTGATAAACTCATGTTTGATAATAAATCACTAATCGACTCGACTACTTCCTTTTAGTAGAACAGACAAGGTTTATCTCTATGATTTTTTTAGTGACGTTTCAACACGTTTCTTTATACTTGTGCAAAGCGTCATGGTAAAGTTAAATTGTTGATTGATTTTGTTTATTTCATATTTTTATAATTTCAAATAAGGTTTTATTATAATCATAGTACAGTTTCATTATGTATATTATACAGCAAGCCATATAAATATTACAGCTTTGTAAAATTTCTAATTCATTTTTAAAACAAGGCTGTATGATCATCAAATACCTTTGCCACGAGTTGTACTATTTTCAAAAAAAAGTAACAGTGCTTGACGTCATGCGAGCGATGAGTATTTAGCGATAGTGGTTTCATTATTTGTGGTGTTTCAGTGGACTTAATATTGATGTTTCTTGTGAAATAACAAAAATGGAGACCGAAAGGATGATAGAAGATACTATAGCACCCCAGGTAAGGCAGGAATGTTTAAATGGAACAAGGCATAATGTCAGGATGGTTCGTCCGCCATATTTACTTTTACCTATATTCGTTTGGACTATTTTGTGTTTTTATGACCAATCTGATTAGAAAAGTAGGTTTCGGAGGTTTATTCAACTCCTGAAAGGTTTTACGAATGCTATTTTAGGTGTTAAGAATATGCTACGTGTTATATATTTGTCAAAATGTCTTGTACTAATTTTTTAAGCCGTCCTGCAATGCGGATCTTGAAGTTATACTTTTTGTATGTTTCCTGTAGTATTTGTCGAGGTCTGTTGCGTTTAATGTTTAATTTTATACATTCTCTTTACTTCCGTATCGATAACGAGCTGTTTATTTACATCCATGACATTATTCTTACGTGGTAATATTGTCACGTTTCATATGAATTCGAGCATTCAAAACTCTTTTTTTGTTTGTTAAAAAAGTTTTTACGTGTTCAAAACTTCTTTGTAAGTGATATTAATGAACCTCTTTTGACAAAAGTCGAAATATTTTGGGTATACAGAGTTATCTGTTTGAATCATTGTTGTGCTACTTTCTCATTTGATATTTCGCAATTCGTATGCGTTTTACAAAAGAAAGAGTGTGCATAGCGATAACTTACTAGCCAGTAATTAACTAAAAACAAGATTACAACACAGTTACACAGTTAGTTTTATCAGCCATTGAATTTAATTAAAAGTTTAGGTACGCAAATAGAATAAAAATATATTTACAATGTTTTTATTTTGTTTTTGTACACTTAAACTATGTTGCATTTTAGTTTTTGTTATAAATTATACAGATATGTATGTAATTTTGATGTAATAATGAAATTAGTATGATAATCAACAGATGCTATGTACTTTAAATAACTATGTTTATAATCAATAATATTTGTTTATTTCATAAAAAGTTTCATCTAAAAGTTTTACCCTTACGATGTATGAAAAGGATAGCATTACAAATCTTGTCACTCCATCTCTTTCTATCACAAAGTACACAAAAAATACAGTTAGACACGAATTCTAGATGTTAACACAAAATCTAGTTCATGTCATCTTGTCATGCTAGTGTAGACTGGTCCAGGTACTCCTTTCTGTCTATTCCTATTTTCAATTTTATTCTTTTGGTTTAAAGTCAAAAATTCAATGAAAATGAATTGATAGATTGGAGTAGGTTATTGGCCATTGTATCTTCATTTTTCAGTAGTTTTTGGCAAAGATATTCATGTGTTCAACCTAAGCACAGATAATGCAAGGTACCTCTCCAATGAAAAATATTGCCAGCAGCTTTGCCCGCATTCCTGTGGGATAAAAGTAGCCTGTGTGTTATTCCAAACCTTAATCTACCCCTGTTCCAAATTTCATCCGGATTTCCTCAGCCATTTTGACATGATTGAGTAAAACACATACACACTCGCAAACTTTACAATTTATATATAAGTAGGAGTAGGATTGGCCATTGTGTGTCTTCATTTTTTAATATTTTTTGGCAATGATATTCACATGTTCAACCTAAGCATAGATAATGCACAAGGTTCCAATGTGACCTACTTAGAAACAGTAACAAATTAACACAAATAGTCTTTATTTTCCTCAAGGAAAAAGTTTTTTGAATTAGTGTAATACCTTATATTTTAATTAATTGTGTGATTTGTATTATTATGTGGGCTTTTCCTTGATTGCATAGGCAGAGTTGCACTAATATACTATATGATAATCTATCCTCACCGTTCCTATATATCTGGTTGACTTGGCGGGGGTGCACTGCCAAGCCACAGATTAAACTATGATCTGCATAACATCACACACATTTTTAATCCTAATTGCCTAGAAATTGATTCTAGGCAAAAGCAAAGGTGCATCTATGTAGCTCCTAGTTTTACTAGTTATGAGTACATACAATTCCAAACTTCTCTCTTTTATTGAAACTTTCTTAAAAAAATCTAATAATGTATAATCTACCCAATCAGAAGCGGCAATGCCACATCCACTCATGCTGCTCTAGAATTAGAGTCTGATTGTGAGTTGAAACCAATGGAGCTTTTCTCAGTAAACCATTAATTTAAATTAATTTAGTATGTCTATGTATTGGAGTCGTGGGAGAGTCATGCTTCGGCACGAATGGGCCGGTTCATCCAGAGTGACACCACGGTCTAGCAGAAAACCGATGTGAGACAACGCTTATGTTGTGTCGTGTAAGGGAGGTTACCGAAAGACCAATTACCTTTCATCTCAATTCCGAAATCCCCAACAATACTCTAATTCCTAATCCTAACAGGCCGGTAAACACACTTCCAACGCCTATGGTTTACCAGGACCGATTCGGAGTCGCGGAGAACCTAACGGGTAACCGGGGCTCCGGCTCGACGTGCAGGAGAAGGAACGGGGTGGTTTTTAGTCAGTAAGAGTCTGACACTCCCTCCCGCCTCACCCAGGCGGGAGCAGTCATTGGATGATTTTCCCCCCTTAAAAAAAAAAAAAAAAATGGTTTACCAGGAATCCATGGGCGAAGCCGATCGTTTACCGTCAGGTGATCCGTCTGCTTGTTTACCAGCTATACCATAAAAAAATATCCTCGAAATCCTAACCCCCAAAGGGGCTGATAAAGCACTTGTCACACCTCTTGTGTCTTGATTGCTTACCACCAGGTGATCGGTCTGTTCGTTTACCTGCAGAAAAAACTTACCTATTATACAAAGATGCAGTCACTCATTTTACCTGTCGTCATGATAATACCTCTAACAATATTATTACATGTATGAAACAATTCCCTAGCATTATTAATTATTGATAATGAAAGGAAATTAGTCACAATCGAAAGTTTTCGACCTTGAGAACTGATAATCTGTAATCACATATAATGTATGACAATATTGTTTAAGGAAAACATTTATTAAGATTATATATTGGGTAATTACCAATAAGTTTAATTCTGTACTTATCTCAAATAGTATCGTCATCAACAGTCGGAATATGTCCACTGCAGAATAAGTATGTTCCCCTTAGTGCTCCACTTTTGAATCATTGCCATTGTTTTAGAATATTTTATTGTATTGTAGAGCAGAAAAAAATTGTCCGAAATTACCATGTTACTATAACTGGTAATATGACAAATGCGTGCATCCTTCACTAATACAATATAATAACAGGTGGTCTACGAATGTCAAGTTGGCTTCTTGCTCAGAAACAATGAAAACTCTCCACGAAACAACAATGTTAAATCCACATATCGTTTTGCATAATGATGCAACGTGGATCATACACTTTAAATCCTAAACTTTTTAACTGACTTCCCAAAAAGGAGGAGGTTATCAATTCGGCTGTATGTTTTTTTTTATAATTTTGATTTGCACAGAATGTCATCAAAATCTCTTCAGCGGTTTTCGAGTCATTTGCAAACAGGGTTCTCAATAATTTAAATACTGTTTTATTATACAATTGTTACCGTGTAATAGTTATTTTGATTGTTACATTGTTATGTTGGAAAGTCCTTGGATTGATCTGAACATAGTTAGTCATCTAATGATCCGCTAGTCATAGTCAGTCATGGCTCAGTCATTATAATGAATTTATATTTTAAGTAATTGGATGAGGCTTTTGTACAATAGATATAAGTATGTATTATCTTTTTGAGACACTAAATTAACTAAAAATCCCTGCAGCTGTAGCCAAATGCCATTTAGCGCTTGTCTACATGTAGAATATAAAACCATATTAAATGGAATTGACGTAAATTTTGACACTTGTCAGTGTCATCCCCATACATTTAGTTTTCTACTCTCTCTGTAGCCAACGCTAAAATGGCGTTTGGCTAAAGGCCCTGGTTACTCACGTGAATATACTGAGAAAAACTCTACTAGTTTCGAGCCACAGAGGGGCCTTGTACCTATAGATTTAAAGATAGTTTGGCTAAGACTGCCGATTCAACTCGAGTGGCCGTTTTCACCAACCGTCCCCTAACCGTCTCTTAACTAAGAATTACTTAACAGAAAGGAGCAGAAACCAACCCCTTATTACCTTTACGTGTGACTTATAGAGAAAACGGTCACAGAACTAATGGCCGATTTAAACAATCATGAGACTTGAAATATTTTTTTTGTTGTGGTTTTTATTGTTATTTTATATTTGCGTATTTGGTGCATCATGTCTAATGGCAAATAAATTATTTTATATTCTTTATAATGTAAGAATAATCAGTTTTCGAAGACTAAAAGAATTCTTTATCAACAGGTGACGTCAATCACCAGCGTGGAC